TTTCGGAGGTCTCTGCATCACACGTGACATACCCAAGTACAAACGTGCACCACACATGACATGATTCCTTGAGAGCGTGTGTTTGTAGTCATGCCATCTGCAAGCTGCAACAGCACCAAACATGACATGATTCCTGGCAGGCATGCATCTGCGAGCATCCGTTTCTGGTCATGCCATGCACTCGACCTGAGGTCCTGGCCTCGCCGTGCCATTGCTGCCAGGCCGGCCTGATGATGGGGATTTTCTAAGATGCAGATGTCGCACACTTCTGGGGTCAGACGCAGTCAGTGAGGGGCATAACATGAGCTTGCAGAGACCGACGCACAAACCAACATGCGTGTTTCAATATATTCATGCCATGTCCACGTTCATGCCATGTCCACACTGCAAGCTATCAGCTGTCCCGCAGCTTCTAGCACACTGTTCTTCTATTCTGAAGAAACCAATCAAGACTCAGGTTCTCGCCTCGCTGATGATGTCTTGCTTTAGTGCTCCTGCATATGCAGATGTCACACGCTTCCGGAGTCGGGTTATGGGGACGAAGACGCCGTCTCGAATTCTTAAGTTTATAAGACACCCGGGGCTGGTTTTCGAGACACGACGTCATGATGAATATCTCTGTGCCTACTCCTGCAACCGTTTACAGCTCAGGCTGAACGCTGTGCCAGCATGCCGAAGCAGAAACCACATCTTGCTGCCATTTACTGCCGTGTTTCTTCGAAAGCAAACAAAGACAGTGCAAGCGTGGGTCGTCAAAAGAAGGCCTGCCAAGATGTATGCTCCAAAATGCAGTGGAAAGTCGTCAAGAATGTGGCAGAGGTCGTCAGTGGATCACTGCCGAAGGATCAGCGGCAGACATTTTGCAGCTTGCTGCAAACCTGTGCCAAGCGTGGCATCAAGAACTTAGTGGTTGAGGGTGCTCGCACAATAGCTCGCAGTGCAAAAACATGTGAAGAATTCTACGAGATGAGCAAAAACTCTGGCATCAAGATCACAGCGGCAGACATTCCCACATTATATGAAGATTCCGAAGGCAACGCCGCCAAGGCTTTCTTGCGTCATGTACTATTTGGCTATGTGCAATTAGAGCGTGATATGCTCGTCCATCGATTGCAGGATGGGCTCAAAAAGAAGCGTCATGAAGCTGAGGTCGCAGCTCGCAAGGGCGTTTCGGGCCTTGCCAGATCACAGCATGGAAAGGTCAAGATCAATGGTCGGCGCTCTATCTTCGAGAACAAGAAATGGAGCAAAAAGAAGATTCAGAGCCAGCTTGGGAATATCTTCCGTCAGTATGCCAAAGGAAAGATCAGTCTGAGGCTTATGGCCAGTGAGATATCTGCCAAGATGAAGCTCCAAAATAAGATTGCACACGAGACTGCTCGCAGGATGTTCCAAGCTTGGGGCCGTTGAGCTGTGCCGAAGCTCCCCGGCCGAATGACCTGTCACAGGGTCACTCGATTCAGTTGAACGTC